ACCGACTATAGTCTATCACTTATAAATTTGTATATACCTCTTCTGTTTCTTTCGCGATCATCATCACGCTCTTGAAGGAGAATATCCAGTTTTCTTTCCATTCGTTTGACGGAAGCAAGTGTTTCGTTCCATGCGATTTCTGAACGTTGTGCGGATTCACCAAAAGAGTTTACACTGTAGTTTGGCATATTGATAAGAGTTAAATAATGAAGAAAGGAACAAGACTATCTTATGTTGGCTGTCTAATATATGTTAAAATTTAAACTCCTTTATTATTTAAACCATGATGTAATAAACAATGTCATTAAAAATGACAGTTTTTCCCAAAAAGCGTCCATACACAAGAAATATATATGGTCCCTAAATATATGTGTGTAATTTCACGTATTACTTACTTATCAACTACACGTTCTTGGGTGATTTTCATAACCAATTTACTGTCGACAAGAGCTAGCATTATCACTAGTACGTAGATGACGTTTTTTAGTGTAGTCTACAAAGGAGGCTATAAAATCTGTTGGATATAGCATAAATCTAATTTCTCAGTTCTTTATATTTTTACTTAACTTTTCCCATATGAATAACGATAACACAATTAATCCTTACAACGTCTGTAACGTATGCCAATATTCTGCCCCTAATGCTAAAAGCATGTACGTACACGTACAAAAGAAGAGGTGTATTTCTTTAGCCGATGAAGTTGATACGAGCATCGAATCCTCCCATGTAACTCCAATTGACGGATTCTCCTCGGAAGATATCGATATGATTGACAGTGCAGATACTCCTGGAAATGATGATGATGTCGACGAAGGTATAGGCGAAAGAATTTTTAAATAACGTGCATTTGACTTACTTTTGCAATACATATGAATCAGTTGTGCAGGAAGAGTTTCCTGACGCAATTTTATATGAGTATTTTGATAGCAACCACGGCCATTATAATAAATTGAGGGCATTTGAAGTTGGATTCCTGCAATTAACTGATCAGAAAGGTGTATCGAGGGAAGTACAACACCATCTAATTTCATTCATCAACAAAAACTTGCTTGATTGTATAGCACCAGAAGCTTGCATCGAAGGTAAAACAAAAAGCAACAAAGACTTCCATTTCTCATGTTTATATCTCTCAAATTAGGCTTAGGTGATACAAAGCTTCGTTCTCCTGATCAGATAAAAAATACAGTGGTTAAGACTAGAGGTATTTGTAAAGAATATGATGTCTGCGTTAATAGCTGTTACCTTTTCATGGATGATGATCAAGCTGTAGATTGCCCTAATCCCAAATGTAAAGAGAAAAGATTCAAAGACAATAGCAAAGTTTCTCGTGAAATTATGCCATGCGTGTCCATCGGTGAAGCATTGACACAGATGCTATTGGATGATGACAACAGGGAGCTTTTTGACTACAAGCCTACGTTCAATCTCGATGATAATCAACTTGTTGATATTTTTTCGGGTCAAGACTTCAAGCGTTTGCATCGTAAAGGGGTTATTGGTGAAAAAGATATCTGCCTTGTAATGTATGTTGATGGCTTCCAAAATAAGCACAAACCCGGTCATAGCCAAACCATGATTCACTCTATCATCATGAACCTCGACCCATCTGTTAGGTAACATAGATCCCCCACCTTTTTTCTGTGAAAGTTGGTTTCTTCCTTTCTTACCGTTTTATAGATTTGAAGAAAACATGATGATGCCTTTAGGTGTTATACCGGGTGGCCCTGAAAAGACATACGATTTGATGTCGTTCTTAAAGCCATTCATTGAAGAAGTAGGAGTCTTGAGTACGAAAGGCATGACAGTTGTTAAGAATGGTCGCGATGTTTACACAGGAAGAGTGTTTATTCTTGGAATCACAGGTGATATTCCCGGTATTGCCTCTTTAATGAACCATCAAGGACACCAATCGACTAGTGGATGCAGAATGTGTAAAGTCACTGGTGAAAGACCAATTGGAACTTCACACGGCATGTATTTTAAGAAAAAAGGAACTATGAGAACCAAGAAGGAGTTGGTATCACGCAGTCAAATAGCGGTTAGTATATTTGACGTATTAATGGATACAATGTATACTTACGAATAATTTTTTTGATGAAGGTAAACGGAATGTATGGTGTTCCCGAACAGATCAGTCGCTTACCAACATTCAACGGATCTTCTTTTTTTCTTTGCGACGAAATGCATTTGTTACAAAACATTGGAAAGTTGGTGTATGCTTTGGTCTCTCCTGCGGATAACGTACGTTACAAAGCGCCGGGTAATAAAGGCTTAAGTAGATTACAGACACAGAACAGCCGCTTTTTTGAAGTAATTGATGGCTTTGTTAACGCATCCAGAACGAACATACCCCAGTCATTTGAAGGAAATTGGGAACGGACAAAGGGACACAACCGTGCTGTAGATTGGCATGATTTCCTGTTGTATATTATTCCAACATTGGTCATTCAGCATATACGATCCGAAGAAGCAAGAGAAGCATTGATGAATCTAGTGTATGGTTGCTCCATAGCCATCCAATGGTCTATATCCGATGCTGACACTAGGGACATGAATAACAGGTACTGTAGTCATATATGAAAAATAGATGAGGTTTTGCATTGGAAAAATTAACTTTCTTATTTACCTAACCACCTTTATGATAAGATTTGACAAATGGCATACATTTTTGAGAGACGAGATCTTAGCGGAGAGATTAAACGTTCGTGTTTTCACTGTCAACAATCATTATTTGTGTCATCTGGAGTACATTGTCAAAAATGCAGGACCTCTGAAAGCCTACTCTTGTCGCAATTTGGAACGTACAATAAAAAAATACAGCAATCTGATCAAGTCCAAAAGCCGTATTAATGCCAATGCTTCCAACACCATCAGAAGTCAAGCAGGCTACAACTCACATCATATCCGAGGTCTCACGTCTGGCTTGGTTTCTGGTTCTGGTTGCAGCCCATCCTCGTATTTGGATCACCCATCAGGCTTGCCTGATTCCCCTCAACTACTGGCTCCTTTTATGGATGATACCCTGTTGGATGACACTTGTGCGGAACTGGTATGCTGTGGCTTGATAAAGAGCAAAGTTGTCAGGGCCTTGCAACATTACTACATGCGTACAGCAGGTTACGAAGCAGGAGAGCTTGAAAGTATGGACGTAGTCATTGCAGCAAGAGCATGGAAGGACTCGAAGCAATTCTCTTCAGAATTCGATCGAAAGGCCAAGAATTTGCATACAAGGGCCGGTCACATCGTACTGTTTGATGTCAGTACCAATAGAAGGTAAAAAAAAAAAAAGAGAGAGAGAGAGAGGAAGAGAGAGACGAAAAAGAGATATTAAAACAATGTCCTTAGCTCGACCCGAAATGCTTGGTTTGTTGGAAAGGTGCAGTGCTTTATTCAGCATAAGCAGGAAAATGAGGTTGCCTTCTTGGCAGTGATTGAGGTGATGGAGCAGCACAGTCTTGACAGTCATGGTGTTCCTGTTGTGGTTGAAAACACAAAAGATAAAGCCTATCGCAAGATTGCTGTGTGTGATGTAACCGACATTGTTGAATGTGTTGGCCTTGTGCAGTACTCGGCTACAAAAAGTAAATTCAAAGTCGTGTGGCCAAAGGCACAATTTCATAAAAAGCTTGACCGAAAACTTTGTGGCCAAACAACTGATTACTAGTAAATAGAATAAAAAAAAATTTAGACAGAGCTCATTATTTTCAGTTTTTGGAGTCTGGAATTTGCAACATGTAAAAAAAAAAAAAAAAAAAAAAAAAAAAAAAAAAAAAAAAAAAAAAAAGAGGACGGTAAAAAAAAAAAAGCGCAAGATTTAAAATATAATTGCCGGAAAAAAAAGATTTGTGTATTTCTTGACAAATTTGTGTTATGCGACCAAAACTTTGGTCTCCCGACACAAGTTTTCGTTTTTACATAAATAGTTCGCCGTTGTGGACAATATACGGATAAAGTTTTTTACCCTTTTTTCTGTAGAAACAAAGGATTTTCTCAAATGTGCAAAGATTTATTTTGGTGTGATCTGACAGAACCACGAGTTTCCAGTTTGTTACGGTACTCTCAATTTAAGATTTGGAAACAGACAACACTGTCCGACATTTTCTTTCTTCCAATTAACGCTTTTTCGGTTTAATAAATAGAAACACATGTTACTTCAGTATCACAGGAATGATGGTGCCACTTCTGAAAATTAGAATTCATTGGAAACTATTAGTAGCACCTTAAAAGCCAACTCAACTCCTGTTTTTATTACTTTACAGAAACACATAGTCGACATTCCAGCTTGTTATCTTTGGCGGACTGACAACGGGCGGCGCACTCATAAAACCAAGTGGTTCTAGTTAATTATGTTAATAGTCTTATTACATACACCGGTACTAGAACCAGTCTCTAAAGCACTCATACCATTAGCCCAACATTTGACTATACCAGTAAGTCGTAGAATCAAAGATACGAGGCGTGTTTCGAACAAAAAAACGTTTCTGTAAACGTTATGGAAAAAAATGTTATAACTTCTTACAAGAGTGATAACAACTTAAACATTTTTATGAAACACTTTCAGCCCAATTAACAACCTAATAAAACAAAAAACATAAAAATAAAAATGTTTCCAACGTGTCCCTATGCTATCAAAATGTGATTTCTTTTCAAAATATCAAAATGTCAAATAGTTAGAAAACTTTGGAGGGCTCTGTGTACACGTTTTTGAAATCCAACCCTAGTTTAAGGATATTCTCATCTAATTTGCGAGTTATCTTACATGGGAAACTAATCTGATAATCCGATACAAGTATAGAATGCATGAAACATTCTGGAACTGTTTCTAACTTTTTGTACTCTATTTCGGCTATTAGTTAAATGTGACCAGAGGACCCTAAAGTGACAGATCTGAACAGATAAAGGACCTGAATTTTCGGAGGTATCGCATAACGACGGATAACGGACCGCAGTACCCTGAAATCAACGGATTTTGAGGGATAACGGACCGGAGTGCCCTGAAGTCAACGGATTTTGAGGGATAACGGACCGGAGTACCCTGAAGTCAACGGATTTTGAGGGATAACGGACCGGAGTACCCTGACGTCAACGGATTTTGAGGGATAACGGACTGGAGTACGCAAACGTATTGGATCTTGACGGATAACGGACCAGAATTCCTTGTTTTTATGATTTAGATGGATAACGAACTGGATTTACCAAAATATAGCCCCACTAAAAGTCTTATTCGATGGATTACACATGTTCTGAAAAATGTTTTGTTTGGCTGTTTATTCACTTTTAAACAGCTAATTTGTATTCGGAAAAATTTGACTTGAATTTCATACGATGTTTTGTCAAGGGCAAAAGCGTTAGAGTCTAAATCTTGCAATTATTGACTTTTATCCACAATAGCTGCGTGAAAATTTGTTTTGTCCAGATAATTATAGAGTTTAATTTTGACCAGACATTTATTAGACCAAGATACTTTATTGCGTCGTCTGTCCAAGTTGTTGTTACCGATTTAAAATATGATTTCGCTACCAGTTTTACCACAGGGATTTCAGTATTTGCTTTTAAGTTACTTCAATGACAATTTCTCTTCGTTTAAAAATTTTCTTTGCATTGTTTAAGATCCTTTTGACTGATGTAACCCATATTAATCTTGCAATGACCAACAGCCTTGACCTGGTGGGGACGAGTGTTGGGGTGGCACAAGAGGGAGCGTTTGGATGGATTTGAGCTCAGGTCAGTAGCAATGTTGTACCAACCTCATTGTGTCGAAAGGACAGTGAATTGGCGAGATACGCGGGGATCTAGAGGATCAAAAATCTTGATGAATTGACCTGGCTATGTTCATAATGTGGTGAATACAGGAGTAAACCAACTCCTGTACAGAACACTAGGAGAGCCTATTGGCAGAAAAAATGATATCGATAATACGACCTGTATCGAGACCAGCTAACTTGAAACGCCTGTGAGTTTTAGCGCTAGTGATCTTTCTATTTCTGCCAGTATATAATATTGAAAACCGTTGGGTTTGGTGGGATCACGCTCGAAAAGAACGTACAATATTGGCAATAGTCTCAGCTGTCATTTTAATGGGCCGGGCCTTGGGTTGAGTGGCTTGCTAGCATTGATAGCATCTTTTTGGGCCATGGTTAAACCAGGCTTCTCGGGGAGTCTTTCGGCCTAGCAGTGGCCTTGATAGTGCTAAGAGCCAAGGAAAAAGGAGGTAGCTGACTCCAGATGGTTCCCATTACTTGCCAGATCATCAATTTGATCGACATCAATGCCGGAATTGGTTCTATTTTGTTTTCAGGCTGGAGTTGTAGATTGACGAACATTGCGGCTTGATCTGAATGTTAGTTTCCAAGACCAAAAGTTGAGACTTTTAATATGATCCAATCTTGTATGATAGCTTACCCGTACAGTAAATTTAGCTTCGTATTCATCGAAGCGACGGTTTCTGTCAGGAGCGGTAGCGGCGCAAGAGCAGAACAGAATGATTATTAAGGTGAGGACAAGGCAAGAAGAAACATTAAATATCTATTAGTATTAAGATATATATAAAAAGGAATGAAGGTAGAAAAAGGTTTATTTAGAGAAGCCGGCAAAAATAGATAGATCTTGAATACAGAAATAAGAATAAATAAACATGCTGTTTATTTATATTAACTGACAGATCGGGGTGAACAAGGGTCCCGGGATCATATTTTCAGAGACAGATCATTTGGTCTATTGAGTTTGGGACATCTTAGGGGCAGCGGGCATAGATACAGATAATTTCGGGGATAGAGTGAGAGGATAACATGGGCTGATATTATTAGTGATTTAAAAGGAGTTCAAAGTCAGAGGTACAAAGGAAACGGAAGTAAATGGGTTTTACAAGGACAAGGGATAACGGAGATACCTTATTCGGAACAAAGGACGCTAGACAGGAAACAATATGGATGTTTGTCAGTGACATGTGTGACAGGAGACAGAGAACAGGGAACAGGTGGAACAAGGACAATGGGCTAGTTGGCTTTCAAAAATGATCTGAGACATTTTGCATGATAACACGCAACTGAAACCTAGGTGGTTCATGACAGTTTTGTTCTCGAAGTTGCTTTGGCATATCCAAAGCAAATTCTGGAAGAGAGAAAAACAGGTGTGTGTGTCCCAAGGAAAATTAGGTTTGACATGAGGCAGCGAGGAGTGTCGAAAGAAGAGCGGATGTCTTTACCATTAGCAATTTCAGATTCTTGTGATGGTTCCGAACTGTTGGAAATTTTTTTTTGGCAGCTTGGTAGTACTTACTGAAGTAACTGAGAAAACCTTAAGAGACGGGATGAGTTGGCAAGCCGTAGCCGTGGGCAACTGGCTTGGACGCAGAAGCTCGGTCGTTAGGTAGCGACAGTAGTCCTAAAACTACTGCCATTTCGAGAAAGGTTTCAAGACATCCCATGCTTTTGAGGATGAAGCAGGAGCATTTCCTCTAGCTCTAGCAAGGGATTTAGTCTTTGTCATTATTGTTGAGAAATGTCGTATATTATACTAGCTGGCATCTCGCTCACTTCGTGAGTGGAGCCAGCGTCTGAAACGCACTCCAAGTTAATAAATATAAGGTGCTCTCATAATCGGAAACCGAAAATAAATTGCCTAGTTTTTCTACAAAAATAGTAACACAAGTGCTTGAAAAAGCGATCTAAAAATCGGCAAAATAACACACATACATATATGGGTGGAAATAAAAATCTGATCAAAGTCAAAGTACATTCAAATATTATTCGCTTGAAAAGGAAATGATAAAATAACAAAAGTTTTAAATCCACATTTTTTTTATTTTTTTTTTCCTCCCTTTTACTTTATTACTACTTTTTATCACTTACACCACGGGAAAATCCAAGTGTTTATAGTGTGATTCGAGTGATCTTTTAACACTTATTTAAACACCTAAAGAAAGTGTTTTGCGCCAATTTTATGAGTGATTTCCCCCGCTTAAAGAATGGTTAAAATCACTTCAATATCACTTTAATATAACTTAAAGCCACCTATTTTACACACCCTAATATACTTTTATACAACTCATTGTCACTTATACAGCGCACACCTTAATATCACCTTAGATCCACCTTAAAATCACTTTAGATCCACCTTAAATCACTTTAGATCCACTTTAATATCACTTTAGATCCACCTTAATATCACTTTAGATCCACCTTTATATCACTTTAGATCCACCTTTATATCACTTTAAATTTCACTTTAAAACTACCTAAAGATCACTTTAAAATGAACATTTTTACAGTTATAAAAAACTTTATTTGAAGAAAAAACATTATTTGGAACTTGTGGGAAAGTACTGTTGTCGATACAGCTATGCAACAGCAAGAATCGTTCACTATCATTGGAAATATGACATGTTAATATACTATCAAAATGGTTATATAGTAAGCCTTACATTACATTATTGGTTAGAAGCCGAGTGCCGTCTCTTACGGTTTTGTTCATTTTTGAGGGAGCCTTGTTTGACCAGCAGCTTGTAACATGAAGTAAATGGCCCAGTTATCTTTACACAATGACAATGTCTGTAATGTTTAAAAGATGAGCTTCCCTGGAGACTCTTGATATTAACTCCTTCTTGATAACACCAGATAACGTTTTCCAAGGTACATATTCATCCATGCTTGACCTCAGGACAGAATTGCAAATGGAGTTAATATCCTTGCTTAGCAGACGATACATACCTTCTGCTGTTTCGGGCTGGCCAAAAGAATTCAACAAAAATTCCGCTATCGCTATTCTTTAGTAGTTAATGATCAGTAACATGAACAGTTTCTGGCTTTTTGATCAAGTCAATCTCTTCATAATCGACTTGCATTTGATCTTGACCGCTATTTGGAAAAACATTTTGGGGACTTGTAGTAGCTATTTTACCCAAATGGTTTCTAATCGATCCAATCTTCATTAAGACTTTATAGCTGAATTTGCTTTGCGATGATAGTTCCTTCTAGCTTCTCTATTTTTTCAAGCACAATATTTACCTATGTAGGTTGTCTAGACATATTGATGGAAATTTTAGTTGGTATTTTAGTTAAAGTAGAAGAAAGAAAAAAAAACCCTCACGTCTATTTTGGAATTTCATTGTTATTGTTATTGTTATTCTTTGGATGGCTTATGTTTGCTCTATTTAGAAAAATATGTTACGTGAAATCATGATTTATGATGGGAAACCCTATTTTAAACCGCGAGTGCCGCAATATTTGGAATCCCTCTTCTTCACATTTAATTATCTATTAACGAAAAATATGCGTGCGAGACTTGCCAAAACAGACCATACGTTCGTACTCGCGATATAGAATCTCATAAAAGAAAGCACAAAAATATGGATTTGGAAATCGAAATGAAGGTTAATATCATTAGACGACGACTAAATATAACAAATGACAGCACTGCTGAGTCATGCGTCAATGGTTTGCCCGTAGAAGAACCTGCCAATATTCCTGATCTTGAATATGGTATGACTGACGATGACAATTTGATCCCGTTCCCGCTTCTGGTATTGCTATATGGATATCAACGCTGCAACTGAATTAGAAAATTTATATGAAAGTGATAGTGGAAGCTGTTTATTTTATACTACTAGTTCAACAGCATGCCACTTGCTGCAGAAGGGTCATATGAGAGTTCTGATTAACACCAATAATATTATCAGTCCAGAAAAACAATACCTTTACCAATAGAAGAAAATAAGCACTACCTTGTTTGGCCATCTATGTCATTTAAAAAGATGTGTGTATAAGCAATACGCCGTTTGGTTTTAAAAACAAAACGTAACATCATATATCAGACTTACTAAATAATAATAAAAAAATATTGCAAATGTTAACACTTTTTGGAACACCCCTGAACACCTCAAACGCAAGTGATGAAAACAAGCTTTTATTTTAACACTCATTTGTCACCTTATACAAAAGTGACCGAATTCACCACCTATTAATACCTTTTAACACCTTTCTCTCAAGTGATAACAATTAACACTTATTTTAACACTTAATAGTCACCTTTACCAAAAGTGACGAAATTTAACACTTATTTTAACACCTTTTAGCACCTTCATTCTAAGTGGTAGAAATTAACACTTATTTTAACACTTATTGTCACCTTTATTTAAGTGATGGCGAAAAACACCCGAATAAACACTCAAAGCACTCAAAGTCACTTATTTAATTTCAACTTATTTTTCCCGTGGTGTTACCTTACTATGAACAAACACTGAAGCAAATAACAACACACCCAACAACGTACGTGGTCGCGGACGTGGTCGTGGAAATGGACGTGGAGGTAGACGCGGACGTGGCAGACCGCTGGCACCTTGTGTTTGTTGAACCTACTGTTCAGCACAAACACCATCTGTCAACAACAGCAATGCCAAGCTGAGAACAACAACGCTAATGTCGAAGATGACAATGGGCCTTCACGTCCATACAACGTATGGCTGAGGTTGCAATTTGTAT